TCCAACGAAAAAAAAAGAGAAGAGAGAAGAAAAACAAAGTTGAAATATATTTTTTCTCTCTTAGTTTTTTGCTTTTGATTTTCTCTGATGTGTGATCAACCTTACCTTTTCATCCCACTGATTTTTTTTGCATAATTTGCAAGAACTTTTGCTAAACTATGAGAGCAAAAGAGAAGAGATAGAAGAAGAAATACAATGAGAGAGAGGGGGAGGGAAGCCAAAATAAGCGTGTAGTTTTTTTGAGGGAGAATATAAAAGAGAGTAATTTCTTTAGAATTTGGCTATATAATGCCAATTTTTTTGGGCTATCTTTGCCAAACCTAATATAAGGCTAAAAATTACCAATTTTTGTTATGTGTTGTCATAGGATGTCAATTTTTCTAGAATTTTGATTAATTAGGCCCATTTTAAGCACAAATCTAACCATAAAGGCCCAAATCGGACAGTCTGTTCCTTCGGCCCACATACCCATCAGATATAACACCCTAGAGGAAACCTAAGACCTAACAGAGGAGGAGGAGCTAACAGCCGCCCACCCCTAAGAGATCTTCAAGATCTCTTTCAATCCTGGAAGCAGCATCGACCTCCATTTTTGCTTCCAACGGATCAACCTGTGTTGCTTTCTCTTCACTTCTTGCCGTCATCTTCTTTCCCTGCCCAAACGTAACATTAATAAACTCTTTTGTAAGGCTACTTACAATCAGTCACAATTCAAGAACGGACAAACAGAGAGGGGACGGGCAGAGGCATTGAAAATAAGAAGAGAGGAGCATAGGGGCAAAAAAAAACCCTAATTCCCCGTGACCCCGGCCGCACACCCCCTCATTTCCTCACCCCTCTACTGCCGGCCACCACCAAAGCTCACCGGAAATCAGCCACGCACCACAAAGAAGACCAGGCTATCATCTCTTCCCTTATTCTAAAAAGACACGCACACACAAGAAAAAGAGGAAGGTCAGCCGCACCTCCATAGCCAAACCACCTATCAGCCGCATACACACAAGAGAGGAGTCTCCTCTTGAAACCAAATGGCATCTCCCTACACCAAAACCACCAGCGTTACACCACCATCGTAACACCATTATCTTCCAAAAACATTCACAATATTTGATTAGGCAGTCACTCTTCTTAATCACCAACCAATTTGTCATACCTTCATCACCACTGAAAACTCCGATAAAAATAGAGTTTCGTCGCGTGGATTTTGGTTGAAGTTTCTGTCGGATTTGTTTTCGATTAGTGTTGGTCATTTGAGAGTTCGAGGGCGAGGTTGTTGTCGAAGCTCTCCGGTTCGCGGTTTAAGACCCAGTCCCTATTTTTGCTTTCCGGCCAGATTTTAACTGGAGTTTGTTGTTGCATTTTAATACCTTTGAAGTCAATGTACCAGAATCGGAGCTGTTCTTATTAACAGTGAAGACAACATTTTGCTTGAGGTCCATTTCTTTTCATCCCTCTTCTTAATCAATGGATATACTTCTTTGTTTCAACAAATTTGAATCTGCTTATGATTTGTTTAACCTTGGTTAGCTTCATTGTTATTTCGTTTAATTTGTTTCTTTGAATTTTGTCTTATATGATATGTTCAATAAAAATGAAGACATGAAAGAATTAAGTTGAATGGAAATGGTAAACAGTGAATTGTTTTGAATCGTGGGGGTTGATCAAAAAATGGGTTTAGGTCAATTCATTAAATTGATGCTGGATATGCAGGTTTGAACTCGAGGAAATCTTATTGTTTTACCTTTATTTCATTTGGGATCCGCTAGTAGCATGTTTAGGCCGATCACACTCGGGTAGGCGAACCGTAGGTCGCTTCTTTTCGTTTTGCCGAGGTAAGAGGTTGTTCCCTTTAGTTTATATTTAGGAGAATGCCTCATGGAGTTTGTATATATCATTATTATCCGGGATATTGCCCTGAAGTGAATGTAAAGCGGAGGCGGAGGCTACACCGTGGAGGAAGTATATTGTAGGTTGCTTAGGATTTTTATTTTCATTTTTTTTTAATTTATTTATTTTTCTTTTATTAGGTGGGAACAACCTCGAGCCTCTTCTGTGTTTATTTTCATTTTTTTTTTGTATGTTTCTACCTCAACCCGAGTATTTCTAAAGCAACCTAGATCCAGTACGCAACCGTACGAGTTACGGGACTCGGGGAATGCCTAACACCTTCTCCCCGAGTTAAATGAACCCCCTTATCTAGAATCTCTGGTGCAAACTAGTTTTTGGAGTCCAAACATGTTTTGAAAGAAAAGTCATTTGTTATCGGTGACCTGACACACCGAAATCAAATGTCAAGTGGCGACTCTGAAAAACCTTTCGAAACGTAATCTTTTTGCCACTTTCGAACTGAAAACCCTTTTGAGCTTCAAAATCACTTTTTATCTTTTAAAGAGGGGTTGAGAGGTGAAAAAATGGGTGTGACAATGTACATCAGTGATATCTCATGTATATTATGTGTATCTGTGTATATCCATTTGTATTATATATACGATATAAAATGTGATATACACGGGCGTTCATAAAACAATTGTGTTGTGTACACGATATGCAAAGTGATATACACAGACATCCTTAAAAACTTGTGTGTGATATACACTAATGTACACGATATACAACATGATATACAGATGTCGTAGTTGGATATTTAGGTCTGATTTTTTACCTGAAACCAATCTAATCACTTCTAATCTTGCTCAAATTTTGTATATAACCTCGTTTAGGTATTTTCAACTAATTTCAATCACACCCACTCATTCAATCAACCAAAAAACGGAAGAGAGAAGAAAACAAAGTTGAAATATATTTTTTTCTCTTTTAGTTTTTGCTAATCTTGCTCAAATGTTGTATTAGCCTCGTTTGTATTTTCAACCAATTTCAATCACATCAACTCATTCAATCCAACCAAAAAAAAGGAAGAGAGAAGAAAAACAAAGTTGAAATATATTTTTTCTCTCTTAGTTTTTGCTTCTGATTTTCTCTGATGTGTGATCAACCTTACATTTTCATCCCACTGATTTTTTTTGCATAACTTGCAAGAATTTTTGCTAAACTATGACAGCAAAAGAGAAGAGATAGAAGAAGAAATACAAGGAGAGAGAGGGGGAGGGAAGCCAAAATAAGCGTGTAGTTTTTTATTTATAGAGAATATAAAAGAGAGTAATTTTTTTAGGATTTGGCTATATAATGCCAATTGTTTGGGGCTATCTTTGTCAAACCTAATATAAAGCTAAAATTGCCAATTTCTGTTATGTGTTGTTATAGGATGCCAATTTTTCTATTATAAACGCAATACCAGTAACTATTAAATTTAGTTCAGGTGACTCAATATGATCTAAGATATAAGTTTAACAACATATTTTTTGATTTGTTAATCTTTTGATGCTTCTTTAGGACTAAACTTTGCCATTTGTAAATATGTACATACCAATGTGAAAGAAGTTTGGTACATCTGTAAGTATGTATATAAAGTTGTAGATTAGGTGAGTTGAATAGGTTTTCTTCTCAATTTTAGTTTGTCGGCGACAACAACTTTTTGTAACCTGAGCATGAAAAGATTTAGGGAAAAAAAAATAAAATTGATTGATTGACTGAAATTAATTGCATTTGCTTGTTGAAAAGTACATAAAATATGTATAATTTTTTTTATATATAATATACGTATATACAAAAAATATATATTTTATCAACTATTATTTTTTGGAGTGGCTAAAAATATCTATTTCTCCAAAAAGTGTTTGCATGAAAATATACCAATGACTCCAGTTGGATAAAACTTGAGATATTATTTATTGTCCATAATGTTTCTTATTTTAGATAGTAGAAACTAGAAAGCCAAAAAACAAGCAACACATTCAAGATAATTAAAGTGTTAGTCTCTATGCAACAAGCTGGAAAATACCCCTAAAGTAGAAGAATAATGATCACCTTTTTCTTCTGTTGAAAAAAATTCATTAACCAAAAGAAAAAAGAAAAACAACAACAAGAAGATGGAATTTCTTGTAGGTTTAGTAAAGAAATTGAGAATTCAGTCTTAAGGAAAGAGACATTAAGCACGAATCTTTATCCACATAAAATTATTTTTCCAAAGATAAGAGATTTAATCTATACATAACAACATTATCACATGTGGTTAGGTAATATTGTAGAAAACTAGCTAACCAACTGGACGATTTCATCACTTACCGATCTAACCACCTAACCAGATTGCTGCAAAACTAGCCAAAAATAAAGGCCTAACCACTACATATTGCTGGATTGACACATCAAAACATGTTCTAGCCTAAGCTTTACGTACGTACAGATTCGGACGAATTCAATAATTTTAATTTATTTTAAAGTTTTATTAAATATATTTAAATATAATGATAAATTCAATTACGATTACAATAATAAATTCAGAACCCATAAACTTTAAATTCTATGCAGGTGGTGGGTCCCAGAATTTGGTAATTTAACCAAGGTTGATCTCATTCCCCACCAACTTTCTACTGCTGACAAACTCTGACATCAAATTTTTGATGGTAAAGGATAGACTTCAAATATATTCTATGGTCTCATATAAAAAATATTAGTATATAATTAATTTATTTAATACTGATACAGATAATCATTATGATCACTTAAAATGTATAGTTATAGTTTATTCTACGAGATAGAATTAATTAGTAACTTAAAAAAAGGTAATTAAGTAACATGCTATAACGTGTTAATTGCACTATAAAACTTCTCTCAAACCACTAATTAACCACGCGATAAAAGAACTTGATCTTTCCACTGATTTTATTTGTCAACATTTTGTTAGGACAGCTAACCAAATTATGGTGCACACCTGTTCTTTTGCTTATTTCCTTAAATAATTCGTCTCTGGGTTCCTCTATTATCTTCACTGACATTTAGGAACTGGAAAACAATTGAGACCTAATTATATTTATGTAATTTTTAATATTCTCCAGAACTTTAAAAAAAAAAAAAAAAAAGGAATGAGGGAGAGAAACAGTAGATGAGTAACCAATGATAGCAGCCAGGATTATATTCACTTAGATCAAATATGAAGGGAAAAAAAACTGAGTAGAAAATTTTACAAAAGAAACAAAGTGTAAAGACATCAAATTTCAAGAGAAGATCGTAACTACTACGTACGCACAAATGTAACAAGACTAAAATATTCGTAGCCACTACATTTCTGGTCTTTGAAATCTGCAGCTCTTCTTCTTCTTCTTCTTCTTCTTCATACTAATAAAATTTGATCAATCCTCCTTAAAATTCTGAATTTCCTCTTCAAATTCACCTCAAAGTAAGTAATCCCAAGAAAAATCCACCCATCAAAAGTGAAAAACCACAAGAGAATGTCCTTTTGGCACCATTAAAATATTGATCAACAGGGTATAAATTCCCTGGTGGACCAGTCATATATATGTATTGTGGATTTGGAGGATTTGGACTATAACCACCACCGCCGCCGTCCCCTGACGGAGGAAGAGGAGGAGGAGGACAGTATCCACTTGGTGGCTTCTTTGGCGGTGGTGGCGATGGTGGTGGTAAAGCCGGTGGAGGTGGTGGTGGAGATGGTGGATTACATGGATTGTTACAAGGACAGCCACCACATTTGTTCTCAATAACCTCATCAAGTTTTCTTGGATTCAATCCATTGGTTATTTGTGTAAAAACCACAAGAAAGAACAAAAGAATGGGGAGTTTTGACATATTTCTGTGGCTGGCCATGAAAAAGTTGAGTTTTTGATGATAGTGTGGAAACTTTCTTTTTTCTTGCTTAAAAGAATAGGCTATATGAGTGTGTGTAACGAACAAATGGTATATGTTAGGTATAGTGACTTTTGGTGAAGAACGTCACTAATTAAAATGAAACTAAAAGAAAGGAAAGTCTTTTTAAGAAATGAGAGCGGTTTGTTTACGCTATTTATAAGTGCATGGAAGTTGCAAAAAGGCATGGGAAAAGAGTTTAGACATTGTGTAATAATATTCATTTTTTTTTTTTAATAAAACACTTAAAAGGTATAGATAGCAATTTTAATACTCCCTCCGCTTTAATTTAAATGAATCTATTTATTGGGCAAAAAAAGAAGATTTTTTAACTTGTGATGTAAAATAAGGAATATATATTTTGTGTGACTATAAATCATTACATAAAGGTATATTATTTCCAAATATGAAAACCGCTCATTTTTTTTACACGGACTAAAAAAGAAAATAAGTTCATATAAAGTAAAACAACGGGATTATGTGACATGTATAACCTAAAATAAAGAATAAGTAATTTACTATTATATATATGTGGAATTTCATTGATAGTATATTCGCTTATAAATTATATTTACCCGATTAGAATACTTAAAATGTAATTACAAATTACTCTCTTTAATAGCATTAGTGATTGTTAAACTAAAATAATTGATAACTAAATTGCTATAATAAATAAAAAAATATTGGATGATGTAAATTATAAGATATCAGTGTATATAACTTAAATTTATAAATTCTTATTGTATGTGGAAAAATTGGTTGATTATTAGGCTAATATATTGGAGAGAGTGTGATCATGAGCTGTCTCTTCCATGTATGGTAGTGACTTAATCCTCAAGTCAATCACAATTGGACGGTGCATTTAATTTGTTGTCCCACCATTGAACTCTCTTTAATATTTAAAGGTTTTTTCCATTGTTCTTTAAACACTTATTTGCATGATTATGGATACGTTTGATGTTATAGCATAATTGTATACACTTAAATAACTATGTTGCATGTTGCGTTCAATAATTGTATTCCTTTTCCAATTAAAACTTTTGTCTAAGAACATGTATATAATGGAAAAGATTGAGACAACTGCATAATGATTGGAATTTAATAAAAGAATTACTCCTTGGTTTAGTATTATTGGATTTTGTAAGTCAGAGTGAAGCCTATAATATGCTTGGTGCATGTGGGGGTTCCTTTTACGTTATCTTTACTCAAGAATTCGAAATTCTTGCAATTTGCAAAGGGGGAAGCAGTTATCCTACTTTTTATAACATGATAAAAGATCAGAATTATTAGAGAATAATTCATCTCGAAATTAAAAGTTGAAGACGAATATATTAAAACGACTTTTATTTAATTTTATATATAGAGTACTTGGATAGCCAATTATTAGTGTGAATCTGTAAATATAGGCATCAAGAAAATAGTGTAATGCAACATGTGAAATTAGCAGTTTCGTTTTCAAAAACCAACATTTTATTTATAAAAATTAATTAGTGAACCAGAGGAATTTCGAGTTTCAGTTCCAAGCCAGTTGAAGAAAATAATTACATCAAGAAACTCACTAGCTATTTGCAGTTGGCATGTTTGAAAATGCTTTCATGCTTGGGAAATGAAAAAAGCAAAATTTCGAAGGGGTTAAGAAATGCTCACTTATGTGCCTTTTAGGTATAGAAAAGTTGAATTATGTGGTTTCATAGAAAATCTCATTTTATACCAGTTAAGTCCAAACTATTTATCCTTAAATACCCAAACCTAAACTATTTACTTTTCCTACCTATGCAACCATTACTATTTATCCGGCCCATATGATTTCTTGATATCGAATCCAAGTCACATTAGGAAGATCTGTGATTTGGCTTATTTACTTCCTTTTCTTGATAAGAACATTTTTTCACTTTTCTCCACTTTAAATTTATTCCTAACGTGTTTAGCCAACAATGACATATATAAAAAGACTATCAAGTATGCACAGCCTTTCTTATTCAAAGTTTTAATTTCGTCCCATATTTTCTTGTCGTCGCCTAATTAAAACTAAAAGAGCACAACCACGAGGGACCTTTTCCAAAGCTGTGATGTTGACTTCTTGCCTTTTGTCTATCAAATTGACCGTCTCGGTTATGGTAGCAATTTGTGTATATATACACAGAATAAATAATATCTCCTATGACTAGAATTTAAATAGAAAAAAAAGCGACAATACTTGCATATAAGACCAAAAGGCTCTAATAAATATTACTATTACTTACATCAATTAATACTATTATTTGTTAATAACATTTACTTCTAACTACAACAACTGCTAAATATTAATTATTATTTATTATCTATAAAATTATTTACGAACAAAATTTAAACAAGAAAGGAAGGTGAAACGACCTATATTACTCCTCTTTTTTCTCTCTATATTGAATGCTTTTTTGTGTTTTATGTTATTCATATAGAATTTCACTTAATTATACAATTGTTTTCTTTTTTACTTTTTCTGTATGAATGTACGTCTTATATTACATATTTGTTCTTTTTATTTTTGATCTTATGTGTGTATGAAGACCACCATTGTTGAGCTTGAAACTCCAGAATTTGAAATTTTATTTTGAAGATTTATTGTTTGATTCGATGTGGGTGCTATAAAATATTGCTTATAGTATCTTCGAGTAAGCTTCCCAAATCTTAAATTTTTATGCGTATTTGGATATCCACCATTGTTGGGCTTGAAGCTCGATTTTATTTTTGAAGATTTCTTGTTTGATTCAAAGTGGGTGCTGTTAAATATTGCTTATAATACCTTCTGAAAGTTCATACTGAAATTTGATAGCATTTGGAGCTGATTTGAGGTGATTGAGATCGAAATTTTCAGTTGAAAATCCAAAAAGAACACAACTACCCAATAGTATACTGCTACGGTATACAATATGTTGTAGGAGTATATAGCTATACTGCAACAGTATACTATTATAGTTTACAATATACTGCAACGGTATATTGTAATAATCGAAGAAGAACACAGTTACCTAATAGTATACCGCTACATTATACAATATACTATAGGAGTATATAGTTATACTGCAACAATATATTATTATAGTATACAATATATTGTTATAGTATACTGTAATAATATGCAATATACTGTAACAGTATGTTGTAATAGTATACAATATACTATAAAAGTATACTTATTACCCGTAAATTCACTTGCATTTTCCCTTTTAATTTGCTTTAAGCTTTTACCCAGCGTGAGGGGCAAATTGAAAATGCAAAACAAAAAAAAAATATAGTATGCTATATAATGTAACGATATACTCTTACAATTAGATCCTTTTAGAATTTTTTTGAAATATTTATTGACAACTGATATTATTTCTATTTAATAATTAAATTAATTATTTTTAACTATTTGCGTACAATTGTATACCCTGTTGGTATAGCTATATACTATACTGGTATCATATGTTAGTTAATATATTTTGGTTGTATTAGCTACATTTAATTGGTACACAATTTGATTTTTTCTTAGTAATAGTATAAAAAAAAAGAATAATAAAAAATAGTAAAAACAATAAATGAAATTAGATTATGAAGAGAAAACGAATATAAAAAGAAAGTTAAATGAAATTAGAAAAGGAAAAAAGAAAAAAATAAGAAGAAAACGAGAAAAAAAAGGAGAAAGAAAAAAGAAAAGAAAAGAAGCATAGAAATAAAAAAGAATTGGAGAATAAAGAAAAAATTCCCTAGAAAAACTACTATGGCTAGGAAATGTAATTAGTTTATGGGTAGAAAAACAAATAGGTAGACAAAAATAATTAGTTTTATATTTGTGGGTAACTGTGTCATTCTTCCTTTTTCTCCGTTGTCATTATATTTGGACCAAGGCAAAATAGACTTTGAGGTTTTAATATATATGATAAGAAGATTGAATCTATCTCTACACTATGTATTTCCTTTGTTCCATTTATATATATTGGGGTGTTTACACAAATAGGCGCTCAGATATATTGTTTATTTTTTTCTAGTCAGTATTTATTGATTATATACTGTTTATCTATGATTATACACATAACACACATTGATTAAATATTATACATTTGTCGGTTATTTTTAATATAAGCATTTGGGTGGTGGCTATTTAGGTTAATTCGTCTTTTGTTTATATTGTTTTTGTTTTCGTCTTTTGTTTATGTTGAACATTTATATTTTGATCCGTTATAGAAAAATTAACGCATCTTTATTTGAACACTCTTTAATAAATATTTCATCATATCTTCTTAGTCAATAGAAGTGCCTTTGGTATGTTAATATTGGTAGCTTAGTACCTTTCACTTTTTTTAAACTCCAAGTGCAATTAGATAAATAACACATAACATGAAACGCAAGGATCAATGGTTTGCTCTTTTATTTTTGGTTGGGGGGTTGGGGTT